TAGATTTATTATATATATATATATATATATATAATTACCATTTTGGATTAAATTATCTGAAAACTCATTAGAAACTTGATTAAAAAAATCCATCCATAAATTATCGGCATCTTTAGATGTTGCCTCTTCTGTCTTATTCGATATCACAGAATTGGCCGCATCAACACCATTATCATCTTTCTCTTCTAACGTAGAACTTTTATTAAAATCCTCCAAAGCACCTAAAATATATAAATAAATATTTAATGTTAAATTAAATAAATAGATATTTAATTATCTACAACCTGTTAGCTTATTACAGCTTATAAGTAAACTTAGGTTTACAAATTATATTAAGTATCATTTTCTTAAACTTAAGTTTTTATTAGTTACAGCACTCTTCATATTGTTATATCATCTTAACAAGTAACATATATTTTAACATATGTTAAATATATAAACTAATGCTTTTCTATGATGTCAAATTATTTTGACTTAAATTTAATATAAATATTTATTAATATATTAGATTAATCATTTAATTTATTATTAATTGGTTTTTAATTACTTTTTACAAATGCTATTAAAAAATAATAAATATTTAAATATTATATAATCATAAAGAAATATATATATTCCATTAAATGTTTATATAACAAAAATTATTTTAATTATTTAATTTTACTTTTTAAGTTTCTTACATATATATATAGTAATGATATTTTTTAAAATATTATATAAAAGTTGAAAGGTGACATTTCATAATATGACAGTTTAAAGGTTAGAACACCGAATATGTTAAATGACACATATATTTATGATTAAAATAAAAAGATTTACTTACTGTCTAATAAATCATTTAACTCCGAATCTTCTACTTGATCTTCTGATTTTTTGTCGTCAGACATTACTTTATTCGTAATCAAACGTATTACTTCAATTTTATGTAGTTTAAAAAGAACCTATGTGTATACTAACTTATTGTTAGTTATGTACAGTCATGTATATCGTCAGTAGCAAGAGAGGGGGGAATACCCTTTCCATACGGCAGTTCCATCTTTGTTAATTATTTCTATTTCATTATACCAACAATTTATTATTATTTTCGATAATAAAAAATAAAAATGTTTTCTTTTTTTCTTAAAATTAAATCATTTTTAGTTTCACAATGTATAATCTTATAATCGTATAATAAAAAAACTGCTGCCATTAGCTTATTATTTGTTTTAAAGATTTCATTGGATTTTCATTTTTTTGCTGTTACGTATAAATATTATTAAATATATTGAAATTTTTATGGATAAAAGAATCGGAGGGATAAGATAAACCACGTACAAAAAAAATTTTGGTTGCATGAAGGGGGAACTTTTGTCAAAGGATATATATATATATATATATATTTGCTTGACTGCAGGATATATGTATATATTATACACCACTGTGCAATTAAATATGCTAATGGCGCATATTTATATGTATATGAAAAAAGCGGCATTAATTAAGATGACTTAAGAATAAATTAGCATAATTTGACGTTAAAGATAAATATTTAAAAAACATAGTTGCGAAACACATACAAGCATCATCTTAAACATAAGTAAAATAAATGTGAATAAAAAAAGTTATACAGAAATATATAAGATATTTAATAGTTTATCATTTTTGCTTATATTTAATAAGTTAGAATAAAACAAATCGAAGCATTAAAACGATATTATTCTAGAGACATTGTTCTTGTTATCCTTGTTATTAAATTGCTTTTTACAATCATAATTTGAAGTAATACAATTATTAATATATTATTTTTATCTTTCTTCAACAATATCACTGTCAGAAAATATTTTGTCTAATAATTGATTACACATATCTATTTCTTCTTTATCTTCTGATGTTAATTCTTTTAAGCATTGTTCAAGTATTAATTTCAAACAGAGTTTTGGTTTGCGACATTCCCGCAATGCAGGTAAAAAGGTATTATTTGTTAAACCGGTAAGAATATTTAATAATTGTTCTCTGAAAAAAAATATAATTATTATTATATTTACATAAAAAAACATTTTCAACATAAATATATTAATTTAATTAAAAATGTATTCAAATATATGTATATTTTTGTTATTATATTTATTATAATTATATCTATTACCTTATTTCTGGAGAAATATTATTTGATCCAAGTAATCCAGCTGTTTGTTCAATTAATCCCATATTAACTAAAGTAATTTTTAAATTATCTGAATTATCTTTGTTACAGAGTGATGAGAGTAAAAAGGCAGATTTAATCTGTAATTTTTTCACCGAACTTTGCATAGCTCTTAAAAGAACAGAATAACCATCGTTTTTATCCATGTATTGTAAAGACATTGGTTGTCCTCTTACAATACCTATATATAATATAAATATTAATAATATTTTTTAATAATGAATTCAAATGTTTATAATTATTAAAAAAATTCTTTGTACATACATGATATAGCATATAAAGATTTGATTCTTGCAGCTTCTGAAGGATCTTTATCTACCATTTCTAATAATATTGGAAATAATCCGCATTCTAAAATTCTTTGTTGACAAAATGGATTATTTTGTGTCAACTCCGCAATTATATCTGCTGTTCTCCATCTGATGCTACTGTGAGAAGAATTAAGACACGGGCCAAATATTGAAAAACCACCAATTTTGTAAAAATCATTGGCAACGTCAATACTATCAACGAAATCTGCAATTCGCTCAAGAGCTGCATCATATTCAGATGAGTTACCATCAGGTCGGAGATCCGCAACATTTGATAATGTTTTAATAGATTTTTGTAATTCTTCTATCACATTTACAGTTAATGAAGATAAAGCTTCACTTAAGAACTTTTTCTTCTGTAAAACATAAATAAAATATCACAATAACTAACATCTTTAAATACAGTAATCAATAACTATCCATTTAAATTCATACTTCTTCATCCAAAGGTTGAAATTGAGGTTCGTATGTAGTACCTCCTGCTTGTGATGCTTCAACAGCAAATCGCAGAAGACCTTGAAGATCATTAGGTTGTTTTGGTTGTTCTGGCATTACCTGTGGTGGATTATTTGAAGTACGTGGCCCTTCTATAGACAATGGCCTTGCACTACTGCTAGGATGGCTATCTCCACTTGTTTTTTCTGAATTTGAAGTAGGGCTAAAATAAAGACACAATAATTGTTATATGTAATGACACTTATGGATAACATATAAATGTACTCAATCCAAATTATTAATAATCAAATTTTTAAAGTTAAATGAAATATATATATTAAACATACCTATTCATTTTCGTATTAATTTTTCTTGTATATGAAGCACCCATGAACTGAAAATCTACACTAATTTCTTAACTATATAATAATAGAAGAACATCACGTATAAATACAAAATGATAAGTATCCGTTTTCTTGCTATTTCTTACAACGGAAACACTTAATAATCGAATAATATATACTTTCGTACAAAAAGAACTCCTTTAATATTGTGTAAGTAAAATCACCAAACATTCTCGAAAAATCTACTATTAACTTACTCCATGATCTATAAATTTCTATCAGTTCCTACTTAAATATTAAATCTTAAAGACAAGCTTATCCAAATTTTACTATCAGATGTCTCTATAAACGCTTTTAAGAGATAGGCTTCAAAAGCACAAATTTACGTACACATTAATATGTTCTGAAATATTTCCAAACTGTTACGTGTTCTTCGTTCAATTCACCATTTTTCACTCAAAGCGTGTGTGACTTCAGCGACATATATGGACAAAATATGAACTAAAAGTGCAATAGGAAACAGCAATACTCTAACCTAACCATGTGCCTATAGCATTGGTTATAAACTAAAGTATGTTTATAACTCTTTCACGTTAGTAGGTATTATAATACAAGTAATCTCTGTATAACATGGCCCTTCAAAACCTAAACAATCGATAAACTTATTCTCTTCGTTGTAAGATTTATTAGATATATATGTCTGATTACGTTACTATACACGCATCATGTAATATAATCCACATTTATTGTTCAAAATACACACGCTCAGAGTTAAATTAAATTTGCTTCTACTTCATTACTAATAAACTTTTAATATGTTCACTAAATAATCTAGTTCATATTAATTTCTTATAATATTTTGAAAAAATTTAAATGATAACAATTTGTTGATTGATTTATATTTTTATTTTGGTCAAAATGAACAAAGTCAATTTTATTATGCACTGGCAGTTGCAGGAGCTGCAGTAGTAGCTTGAGCTTGCTCTTCTCGAAGACGATCTTTCTTGAGTTGACCCATAAAGGATACCTTGTCTGCAGCTGTTTGGAAACGACCATGTCCGAACTTCGAACTTGTATCGATGAATTTCAAATTGATCTTTTCCAAAGCAGATCGTTTCGTGTGTACCAATAAAGACTAAAATAATAATTAATTTTAGTTATAATATAGTTAAAAATAAATCTTTTTGTATCATTAGCATATTTGATCAGTCCTATCATTAAGTATCATATGTTTGTCAACAATAAGGCTCGAAGTATCTCATCATATTAAATTACATTAACTGACTTAGATATATATAAACAATATATAGTTTTACCTTACGAAGCGTAATGACACGTTTCTTTGGTCCCATACAACAACCTTTGATCATAATGAAGTCATTGTTAACTTCACCATAATGTGGAAAACCACCCATGGGAGTAATAGTTTTTTCAGTAAGATCATACTCCGTTGAAGCATTATTTTTAATAATCTGTAATAAAATATATATTTAGTAATCACATAATTAACAATTTGAAAATAAAGATTCTAATTTGTTTATTTAGAATTGTTGCTTTCATAGGAGACCTAAAATACAACAATGATACCCTAGGTACTATGACGAGAAATCATTACTCTAGCCCATTTTGAATAATACGCAAACACACTTCTATTAAAAAGAAATGCTATTGCGGGGAAATGGGCAATATAAATTAAAGTATGTGGTGTGTGTGGTTTCTTTAATAAAAAGGAAAAGAAAAATTACCTTGCCATCCTTCGTGTGTATACCTTGACCAATACGATAAATCTTTTTATTCATTTCTGTGCGATGATGGTATCCCTTTTGTCCAGCACGTGCTACAGTGAATGAAACGCGACTTGGATGCCATGCACCAATGCAAGCAACTTTTCTCAAACCTTTGTGAGTTTTGCGTGGCAATTTCTTAGTATGCCAACGAGATGTAACACCTATTATAATATAAAAAAATATATATTAATTAACTTTAAGAGAAAAATCATCATACAGATATGATATGCATGTTTAAAATTAAATGACGAATAAAATAAAGGGGACATCAGAAGGAAGGCAGCAAACATGAGGTATCTTCAGTTTATCAGATAATGACACATCATGCTTTATCATCATAGTCCAAATTATAATTAATAATGAAATGATTTCATATAATTTTTAAATGTGGTCACATTCAAGAATATATATATTCGGATAACATACCTTTATATCCCTTTCCTTTAGTCACTCCAATAACATCAATCATTTCATCGGGTGCAAACACATTATTAATAGGTACAGGTTTTTCAAGGTGTTCACGAGCCCATTGAACTTTTTGATCAATAGTTCCTCCATTCAATTGAATCTCCATAATATGAGCTTTCTTTTGACGTTGTCTCAACAATTTCATCTACTTAAGCAAAACACATTTTGTTTAAGACTGATACAATTATTATATATTTCTTAATATAATTTTAATATTCATGAAGATTACCTGCGTATGAGCAATGATGCGTACGACCTTACAGTACTTCATAATTTTCTTAAAATCTTTTTCAATAGATTTACGACCAAGATCATCCTGCCATTTTTTAGAGGCTTTAGTAAAAGCCTTCTTCTTACTCTTGTACCTGCACAAAAGTAATCAAAATTCCTTTCTATGTTTCAATGTGTGCATCTACACAATTGGATCTGTAACGTGCCAATCTCATCAAAATGAGCGGAGATTGAACACATTTCTCGGATAAGCCGATAAAAACAAGCCATTATAGAACTCGGTGGCAATATCCGAAATATAACTCTCATCTAACGAGCGGAGAGCTAATTCAAAGATAAATTTAATTCACATGTCTCAAGAGATATATGCACATTATTAAAATTATAAATTCTATACTCTTACCAGTTCTTGTAGAAGCGTCTACGACAATCTTCAGAAAGATGTTCTGCCCATACCGTTGTAAGTGCACGAAGACCATGTGGGGTTTCAATGTACCCAACAACACCAACAACGATCATAGGTGGCGTTTCAAGAATTGTAACTGCTTCTACAATCTCTTTTTTATTCACCTCTAGAAGAAAAAGTATAAATGTGAGAATTTATATGCACAATAATATATATTAAGGTATAACATATTTAATAAAGATATTTCTCTAATAATGTTTAAAAAAGAATCTGTGCCCAACATGGTTTGTCTCAGTGGTCATTGCCCAATGGGCTCCAAAGAGTTTATGGAATATGCCGTGCTTCCGTTATCTCTACAAATGCAGAGTACAGAATTGATTTCCGACACCGCAGGAATATACTGCACAAAATCAAGCAGCTTTCGCCCCGCTACCAAATCCGACTGATACATTTCTGTATCTATCAGATATTGGAAAGTGTCGATAAAAAAAGAATATATATCAGAAACATTCCCAAATGGGAAAAAACCATTATGTAGACCGAAACGTAGATGGGAGGATAATATTAAAAGGGGCCTGAAAGAAGTAGGATACGAAGGCCGCGAATGGAAGAATCGCGCTCGGGGACGGGAACAATGGCGGGATTTGGTATTTGCGGCAATGAACTTTCGAGTTCCTAATGCCTATTAATAATTATAATATACCAGAAGAAAAATATATCGCTTATGCAAAAACTTACTTGATCCAGGCCTATCAGCTTCGCGTACAACATGCGTCATACCAGCTTTGTATCCAACAAAAGCCGTTAAGTGAACAGGTTTGTTCGGATCATCTTTAGGGAAAGCCTTAACTTTTCCGCGATGCCGCTGGGATCTTTTTTTAGGATAGAATCCCATAGACCCATGGCGGGGGGCACTGAACTTCCTGTGCGACTATAAAACCAGATGTAATATTAGATACGTAATAAATTAAATTTCTTGATTTATTTTTTTAATAGAATATCAGACCGCCCTAGAATAATTTCTTCATGGTTATTCAGATATAAACCATAAACATTAATTTCTAAATCATCATATGAAATTATAAAGTTCTTGAAACATGTGCTCATGGCGCAGAAACCCATGTGCAACATGAAATATAAATGTTCAATACGATATTTAATATTATTATAGTTAATAAATAATATACGCAAAGTATGAATAATGCATTTTGAAATAATATATGTGATTATATTGTAATATATTTAATAGGATGCAATAAATAAAAGTAGATTCAAATTTAGTATAAAAGATTTCTGAACTTACCATGGCGGAGGGAACGATCTAAATGGAAGTGGTACTATAGCAACTTCACTTATATACTCGAAAGCAAAATGTCCCTAGAAAAAATTTGGATATTCATTTGGTAACACTGATTAATAAAATTATACCCAATAAATATTGACCAATCAGATACTTACTATATAGCATCATATTCCGAATTTTAACATAAATACAGTGATCCCATTCGTACAATAATTATCGTACGCGTACGATAATTTGAGGCCTTGTACGATCCAAAATTCAGCCTGTACGATCCAATTTGGAATTTCGAAAACTTGATGACCTTT